CTTTGCCTTTTTTTAAATTGGATTATTTGGGTTTTTGCTATAAAGCTGTCTGAGCTCTTTATATATTCTGAATATTAATCACTTGTCAGATGCATAGTTTACAAATATTTTCTCCCATTCTGTAGGATATTTTTTCACTCTATTGATCATTTTTTTTGCTGTGCAGAAGCTTTTTAGTTTGATATAATCCCATTTGTTTATTTTTTCTCTTGTTGCCTGTGCTTTCGGGGTGTTATTCATAAAGTCAATGCCCAGTCCTAAATCCGGGAGTGTTTCCCCTATGTTTTCTTCTAGGAGATTTAAAGTTTCAGGCCTTATATTTAAGTCTCACCCCAATCACATTGGCTATTATAAAAAAGACAGAGAATAACAAATGCTGGTAAGGATGTGGAGAAAGAGAAACCCTCCCACACTGCTGGTGGGACTGTAAATTAGAGCAGCCATTATGGAGAACAGTATGGAGGTTCCTTAAACAACTACAGATAGAACTTCCATATGATCCAGCAATCCCACTACTGGGAATATATCCAGAGGTTTGGAAAACATCAGGTAGAAGGGATACCTGCACTCCAATGTTTACCGCAGCTCTATATACAGTAGCTAGGCAATGGAACTAACCTAAATGTCCATCCATGGATGACTGGATAAGGAAATCGTGGTATATACACACAATGGAATACTACTCAGCCATAAAAAAGAAAAATTCCAACATTTGCAGCAACATGGATGAAACTGGAGAAAATGATTCTAAGTGAAACAACCCAGGTACAGAAAAATACCACATGTTCTCACTCATAACCAGGAGCTGAATCCATAAATAAACGAATGAACAATAAAGAAAGACAGAGAGAAAGAAAGAAACAACAATCACAGTAATATGTTGAAATTTTAGAAAACCAGAGGAGGAAAAGGGGAGGGGAGGGGCAGAGGGAGGGGGGCTAATGAGGAATTGGTCAGAGACACAAAGAATAATTGTGTATTGTAATGACAAATAAGCTAACTATACCGATCTAACCACCACACATTGTACACAATTATTGAAAATCAACATTGTACCCCACAGGTATGTATAATAAGGAGAAAAATAAATAGTACTTGTATGAAAATAAAGAAATAAAAATGAATCAAATAAAGATAAAGAAAGAAGTTTGGGATAGGTCTGTACTCATTTACAATTAGTCAGTACAGGCCTTTCTCCTTGCCACTGGCACATCTATCTCACAGGTCAGATACCAGCTCTCAGGAAAAGGGCTAACCACAAAGTGTAATGCAGCAGGAGGCCAAGAAGGCATTCTTTAATGGACAGGAAGACAGAGATCTGCCCAAATAATGAACAATGGACTAACAAGTACACCCAGAGGATCCAGATGCCTTATACAGTGGGAGCAAGTCTTATGATAATGCATGTTCTTCTTCTGGTAAGTAAAATATTTATGAAGTTGCACGGCTCAGCAGTAGGAACTGAAAAATAATTCTTTATTATAATAAAAGCAACATTTCCCCTTCCTGCTCAGATATCATTTTGTAGACATAAAATATACTTAAGAACTTGCATTAAGATATATTAAAACAGCAGCAAGAAGAAAATTTATTATAATTTTAAAGAGCGCACGTGCAGGTCAATACATGTCAATAGAAATACTTTTCTAAATGACAGAAACATTCTTCTTCCTATACAATAAGCTCTTAGAAGGCAGAGTCTATGTCTAACTCATGCTCAATGCTGCCCCAGTACTTAGTATGATTCCTTGACCAATGTAAATATTTAATGGACATCCGCTGAGTAACTATATGGGTAGATAAGATGTGGTATTACAAAGTGTTTTAAGAATTTTGATATAAACCATGTTTAATTTTAATTGGCATGTATTTTCATTAGTTGAAGGGTTAACCTTTTTCTCATTTCCATTATGTATGTATTTTACAAGTGGATTAATTTGGTAAATATTAGAACAGCAAGTAAGTACAAAAGCAGCAATAAAACCTTTGCTATTTCAGCTACTCTCTTACTTTCCAGGTCTTACAGCAAACAACAATTTCAAAACTGAAGTTTGATACTCACAAATATATAGAACTCTGTACTTTACTGCCTAAGGTGTTGTGTGTCAATAGCCCCTGAGCTGTTATCAATAACAGGGATACCAATATATGTCAGTAGAAATCCTCACTATTCTAAATGACAAGAAACAATTAATCAATTTTTTAAGTAATATCCAATTCTTTCATTGTTCTATGTTCATTGGTTTAGTTACATATTTAAAGTTCTCATTGTGTATATAATACAACATAATACAAAATAACCCCCAGGAATTATATAATATTTTTACTTTTTATTTAATTTTTTTTTTTTTTTTGTCCTTTTTGAGACCAGCTGCACTGTACTCAGCCAGTGAGTGCTGTGAGCGCACCAGTCATCCCTATATAGGATCCGAACCCGCGGCGGGAGCGCTGCTGCGCTCCCAGCGCCGCACTCTCCCGATGCGCCACAGGCTCGGCCCTAAATTTATTTTTTAATTGCTGTGTATTGTATATTTAAAATTAAATATACAATATTATATTTTAACACATGTATACAACATATAATAATCAAATAAGGGTAATTAGCAAATTCATCATCACCAAAATTTATCATTTCTTTGTAATGAGATCATTTGAGCTCCCCTCTTCTAGTCATTTGAAAACATATGATAAATTAATAATAATTACCTTCTTTTCATAGGTGCATTTTAAATGACTTTTCTCCATTTGAAACTTATTCTCTTGATCCTGTGAATGATAAATGTTTATTTTTATTATACCTTAAATTGCTACTAGAGTCAAAATTAGTAATCTAAAGAAATCAATTAATCAACTTGATGTTAAACTTTAGTTCAAAGTTTTGTACATTATTAAGAAAGCCCTACCTGCTCAATTTTCTAAGCTACAAGTAAAACTATGAGTAGCATAAAACTTTAGTTATCTATGTCCATCATTGAATGAGTGGATACGGAAAATGTGGTATATCTACACAATGGAATACTACTCAGCTATAAAAACAAATGAAATACTGCCATTTGCAACAACATGGGTGGACCTTGAGAGAATTATATTAAGTGAAACGAGTCAGGCATTGAAAAAGAAATATCACATGTTCTCACTTATTGGTGGGAGCTAAAAATAAATAAATAAATTCACTCACACACAAAAAAAATAACCGGGGGGGAGGGGGGAGAAGATATAACAACTACAATCCTTTGAAGTTGTTACAACAAGCAAACGGAAAGGACATTGTTGGGTGGGAGGGGGGAGAGGGAAGAGGGAGGAAGGTTTCGGTGATGGGCCATAATAATCAACCACATTGTATATCGACAAAATAAAAGTTTAAAGGGGAAAAGAAAAAAAACAAAACTTTAGTTATCTGAAGATGTTACTCAAAAGTACCTACTTTACAGTGTAAGATAACCTTCCTGACCCTTAGGATTAGAAGATTACTTTTTAAATGACCAACTGTTTCAACATGGAAATGATAAATTTGAAGTTTTATCATATACCAGTCCTAGGTACTTTTTGACCATGAGAGAAAAGGAAAGATCTAAAAAGTGCAAAAGAGAGAGACAGGGATGCAGGTGGGGGAATTATGAAGACTGGAAGATAATAACTTAAAAGGGGAAAATTATTCTAAAATAATAATATACTTAAGTAGGGTCTTTACTCAAAAAAAAGATCTTTCAAACTAAAATTATTGTCCTTTATTCTCTAGATCTCATTAGTGTCTACCTTTGTTAAAAAAAATAAAATGAAAAATTATGCAATAATGGGCCGAGCCCGTGGCGCACTCAGGAGAGTGCGGCGCTGGGAGCGCAGCAGTGCTCCCGCCGCAGGTTTGGATCCTATATAGGGATGACTGGTGTGCTCACAGCGCTCACTGGCTGAGCACGGTGCGGCCGGTCTCAAAAAGGACAAAAAAAAAGAAATTATGCAATAAAATAAAGAATCAGAATTGACTACCTGCATTTATGAGTTTTGTTTTTAATTGATTCTCATTTATACGTATAAATCAAGAAAAGGAAAGGTGTGTTTTGGCCATCGTTCTTTGTGTAGAAATATAAAACTCACTCTTAATTGTTGGTTTCTTTGAAGTTCTGATTCCTGTAATTGCTGTTTTAATTGACAGATGTTCTGTTCTAATTCTTCAATCACACCAGATGTCTAGAAGGATTTTAAGATGAAGAATAAAAAGCAGAATATTGATTTTTGTAACATCCTATAACTTATTTAAAATATATGCATTTTTTCTCCCAAAAGGTCAATCAGAATTAAAATTTCCATAAATCTGAATGAAAAATGTCTTTAAAAGACAGTATAAAAGTTAATCTTTTAAAGTAAAAATATAAATTTAAATTCTGCACAGTATTTAATGTTGTGAAAATGTAACACTGATATAAAAATAATAGGTTTACAGAAAACTTTTAAAATTTATTATAAAGCTAAAACAGAACCAAGATTTCAAAATAATAATAATGTATTTAGTACTCTACAAAGTGTACTATTAACACAAATAAGCATTTCTTCTCACAATTTGTATGTTTCCTCCTTTAAAAACTTTGGTACATAAAAGGGTTAATTTATTTATTATTGCAGAATTTAGTTTATTAAATATTTGTGTTCTGCTACATATTAGACATTTAGCATTTTCAACATTTTAAATACCAACAAGAATTCTTGAAGTTTCAGTTATTTCAATAATAAAGTGAAAGAGACTAATATGAAATGTCAAATAATTAGCCTCTACCTGGCTATTTAGGTGTATATATAGAGACACATGGCTACAGGCTGAATAAGGTAAATAATTACTTTGTGTGGATGTAACTACCAGCATTTTAATACCTTTGAAGCTGAAAGAGCATGTTCTTGTTTCAGAAGGTTTATGTCAGCATCATATTTGGTTTGTAATAGTTTCATGTTTTTCTCACACTCGTTTACAAGATGATCTTTCTCTTTATGCAATGTGTTACGCCTAAAAGCATTAAGAATGAAATAGAATTCCAATATATTTAGAACCAATCCCTAAAATGGAACTTTCTGATCAACTAAATCCAAATACATTATCTTTCAATAACCAAATAAGTATCCCCATTTTTATCAACTGTTTCTAAATGTTATGCTTGTATGTTAAAAAAAGACTTTAAAAAAATAAACAGGGGTATTTAGGTTAGAAACCTCCCAAGGTTAAATGCACAAGGTATGATTAATATTAGCAGATAATTTAGAGTTAATATCAGCACTTTATGGCTACATCTGATGGATATCTGATTTCAGACAATACCTTGCCTTTACTTCTTGTAATTCACTACAAGTTATCTGGTAACATCTTTCAAGTTCTGATTTTTCTTGAATTAACTTCTGCCTCTGTAAATTACTATTCTCTGCTTCTCCAGTCAGCTGCTGCACACGGGCCTCCAGTTCTTTGATCATGTGGTTCTAAAAGAATAACTCATTGTTAGGAAAGTCTCTGACTGACTTTACAACACCTTTGCATCATTAAGGAATCTGTAGAAAATACATAGCCTATAAGAATAAACCACAGCAGTAAAAATTAAACCAATCTCTAATCAGGTTTTTTTTTAAAAAAAGAACATTTTCTACCATAAAACTAAGAACATTTTTTTTCTTGGTGGCTGGCCAGTACAGGGATCTGAACCTGTAACTTGCTGTTATAAGGATGCACTCTAAACAAATGAGCTAACTGGCCAGCCCCCAAATGTCCATTGTTGGATGACTGGATAAGGAAAATGTGGTATATTTTATACAATGGAATACTACTCTGCCATAAAAAAGAATGAAATACTGCCATTCACAGCAACATGGATGAACTTAGAGAAAATTATGTTAAGTGAAAGAAGCCAGGCACAGAAAGAGAAGTACCACATATCCTCATATATATGTGGGAACTAAAAAATAAAAAATAACCAAAAAGGAAAGAAAGATACAACAATCACAATAATACATTGAACTTTCAAGAGAAGAGGACAGAACTAAGGTTGCCAGAGGTGGGAAAGGGGGAGGAGAAAAGGAGGAATTGGTAAAGGGCCACAAAAATTGATTACATTGTTTAATGAAGGATATAGTAGTTATACGGATTTGAACACAACATATTGCACAAGGTATTGATATTCAACATCATACCCCACTGACATGTACAATCAACTATGTTTCAATAAAAAAAAAGAAAGAAAGAAAGAAAACATCACCGTTTTCATTCATTTAATGAATATTTACTTAGTATGGTAATATTTCAGAATGAAGGTACACAGCAGTAAATAAGACAAAGTCCCTACTCTCAGGAAGATAGGATTCTCTTTACACCTTTTTATAAGTTTATTTTTTGTCAGGTAAGTACTTACCAATGTTCTTTGCTCTTCATTTAAAGTTTTAAAAAACTGTAGTAATATTTTTTAAAAGGAAATCATAACCCCAAAATTTTAACACAAGAGTTATCACCTAAGTGAAACACTTATTATTAGATAAGTATACAGGAATATTTTATTACATAGTTGTGTTAGTGCACAAAATTTTCACTCATTTCATTTTTTAATGTCTTTACCATTTTAGCAAAAGCACTTCTCCATTTTTCCACAGTACTCATAATTATTACCCAACTAAACAGTTTCTCTGTTATTTGACACTTATTCTGAAATTTTCAGTTTTTAGGACTGTAATTTAAAACTTGCATAAACGAGTTTATGAGCTTTTATGTACTTTATGTAAAATTAGGGTAAGCATGTATTAGCTGAAGGGACAATTGATTTTTATGTCTTAACAAATTTCTGGTAAGTGTGAGTAATTAGGAAAGATTAATATGTCCCAGTCAATAATCTTTTTATGCTCTTTCTAAGATAAACATTTAAAGCAAAGTTTCAACATTAAATAATATAACAATCCCAACATCCTTTCATTTCATCCTTTCCTCATCATAATACCGAAAAGGTATATAAGTTAAATTTTGGCACAACAGCTTCTAAATCTATAAAATGGAAATCATTATATCTAACTTAAAAGCATGGTATATACATTAACTTTTTAAAATACATATAATTCCTGGCTCAGAGCCTGACACATACCAGATGTTCCAATTTCTTCTTCATGCATCCTATTCACTTCACCTCTTTATGAAAAACCCCACTACTTTAGGACTTCCTTTCAGAAGGTAGTTTCAGTTTCCTAAAACATACTCTAAATTCACCTTGCTTCCTACATATTAATTGACTAGAAGAAACAAAAGAATACATCCTCAGCCTTCCAGTCTTAAATGGGGGAATAAGATAATTTGCATTCCTTCTCTTCAAAATTACCGAAAGAGACAAGACATACTAGCAACAGAAAGGCAAACCCCATCTTAATAAATCCTAGAAGATGATATTCTATTTCTGGCTATGAAGGAGTAGCTTGCAGAAGATCACACTCCCACTGAGAACAACTGAAAACCCCAGAAATACATACACACACAAAAAAATTGTAGGATGGCAGCAGAGGACTTCCAATGCAGCTTGGATGTGAAGAAGTTCAGACAAATAAGTCAGCATTCTGTAAGTTGCTTTTACCCTAGAAGCATTTTTCAATCTTGGAGGATGAGCATGGGGCAAGGAAATCAGAGCAGTGGGTGGCCAAGGCAGCCAGAATTTGAGGAACCAAGATCCCTGAGAAAATAGATGCACAGAGAAATGGGCACCACACCAGCAGTTTTCTCCTCAAGGAATTTGTCAAATTCTTAACATTCACAGGGCAGGAAGTCAAGAACCCAAGTGAAAAAACTGAAGAGCACCCCAGAGTTTACAGCAGTATCACTGTACTTAGGAGTAAAAACTTATAGATTATCCTAGGAGATGGGCCCCTAGTAATATCACAGGCTTTCATTTGGGACTTTTTTTTTTTTTAACTCAAGTCTTTTTCTTTTATTTACCCACCGTCATCAGTTTCATCAATTTGAGGCTCCAGTATACTGATTAAAACTTTAAAATTTTTTTTTATTGTGGTAAAATATATATAACATAAGGACTGCCATTTTAAGCATTTTTGAACCTACAATTGCGTGGAATTGATTATATTCAAAATGCTGTGTGATTACCACCTCTATATAGTTCCAAAATTGTTTCATCATCCTAAACATAAACTCTGTACCCATTAAGCCATAATTTCCCATTATTCTTTCCCCCCAGTTTCTGGTGACCTCTAATCTACTGTCTCTGAAATTCTTTTGTTCTTTTTATTTTTTCAAAAATTGACCCATGATAATTGTATAAATTTATGGAGTACAATGTGATATATGGATATGTTTATACAGTGTGCAATGATCACATCAGAGTATTTAGTACATACATCACCTCAAATATTTGTCACCACTTTGTGTTGGGAACACTCAAAATACTCTCAATTAGCTACTTGAAGTTATACAATAATTTGCTGTTGACTGTAGTTTCTCTATATTGCTATAGAACATTAGACCTTATTTTTTCTATCTCTCTATAATTTTGTATCCATTGACGACCCTCTCTCCATCCCCCTCCAGCCTCCCCTTACCAGTCTCTAGTAACCACTAATCCACTCTCCACTTCTATGAGATCATCAGTTGAGACTTGTGTTGAGGGCTACCACTAAGAGTGGAAGTGAGTCAAAAGTAGATTATAGATTACAAAGACTGCAACCCAGTTTGGGACGATTCAGTCCCGGAATGGATCAAGTGATTGTCTCCACACTAGCTGTCTCTCAGAGTTTAGGGCAGAACTTCTGTGGAAGAAAATAACATCATCCAGAGCCTTTGTTATTTATCATACACTTGTGGCAATGAATCAGAAAATAGTAGGCATACCAAGAAATAAAAGCAAGCAGGTAAAAAACATAAAAATAGATGTAGATATGCAGATGACACAGAAATTGAAATTATAAAACATCTGAGGCATTTGTTATCCTGATTCAAAATAAATGATGGTACCTCAAAAAGTTCATGGAAAAATTATCTTTTAATTCTATTTTTCCACAAATTTTTAAAGTACCCTCATATGACAAAGCACTGCAAACAGAAGATCAAACATAATTGTAGGAATTGTAGGAATTGTAGTCCAAGAGAGGATAATCCATGGCTGGAGATCTTAGGAAACATCACCAGAACGCAGTTATACAAACTAAGTGGCATACCATAATCTCTTGTTTGGTTCAATGGTAAAAGATGCACAGGTTATAACTATAGCTTCTTTCATCTCAATCTGGCATGAAAAAGAAGGGAGAAAAAAACAGGAAAGACTGGGCTGAATGAAAAATCACAAAAACAATTTTTGCAGAAAGCAATCTATGGATGAAGCTGGTTAAGGGAAAGAACTGACAGTATAAAAGCCTTGCACTGGGCTACAGAGTAGTAAATGCTAAAAGAATTCATTCCTATACATCCCTGCATACTAAAAAAATTCTTTCAGCAGAACATGACCTTGGCCCTATAGAGCCAGAAACTGTCTTCAAATAACTGGTCAATGAAGAAATTTGTACATTTAAAGATGAGAAATAATCAAAATGGATCATCATAGCATCTATACAAATATATGATAATGAAGGGAAAGGCAGAAAAAACAAAGTCAAATGAAAAACATTTACCAAGAAAATCACTTACATGTGACAGATTAAAATCAACACCAAATACATCCAAAGGAATACTTTTCAAAATTTGCAAAAAGATTATATTTCCATAAAAAGTTAACAAACCTCACCTCTTTAAAAAATAATAGATCAGAGAAAAACCATAAGATCTCAAGGAAGCTATGTTGGGTTACAGAAAACAAATATGAACACACAAATCTCAGGTAAAAGGTGAAGAGGCAAAAAGCATCATGAAAAGAAATGCTACAATGAAAACATCTCAAAAAAATAATGTACATTGAAGGGACACAGTAAGAAACATGAAAGAAAAGTTTGTGGAACGCAAACAAAATAAAAACTGGAATAAGCAAAAATTAAAAGGGCAAACAATTGGTATAGAAAAGAAAAACGGGAGATGCAACATTTGCATAATTGGTGAACCTGAACAACAGAACTAAAATGGTAAAACAGGAAAATATCTTAAAAGGCATTGTACAAGAAAACTACAAAAAAAAAAAAAAAAAAAGAATAAGCAAATTGAAAGGATACACTATAAAACTTACACAGAATGAAGAATGCCAAGGCACATGGTAAAGTTATTGAACTTCAAGAAATGATCCTTTTACAACATTAATCAAACATGTCACTGTTCCTCCAAAACTCTCCAATGGCTTCCTTTCTTATGCAGAGTAAGAAGTGATTATCATGGCCTTTCTGATCTCATCTCCTCCACTCTCCCCTCCATTCACGATACTTCTGCCACAGTGGCCTTCCTGCTGTTCCTCAAAGTCACCAGGCTACCCTAAGGCCATTACATTTACTGTTCCTTCTGCCTATAGCACTCTTCCTCT